ATACTACTTCAGAATCGTAAACTTGCCCTACAGATGTACAGCTGTTTGTGATCCTCTTCAAATAACAATTAAAGGTAAGAAAGTTTCCTCTCATTCTAAAAATAATAAAGGATAATCAGCTGCAGCTTTTGTGAGTCAGCTGCTTCTGTTATACTCATTTTCCATCTGGACGCAGCGTTTTCCACTGAAAATGCTGCGTCCAGATGAACAGAATCAACTTTTGGTGTTTTGGAGATTTATTTACCTGGATGATTGAGAATGCATCAAGACATTTAGTATAACACATTATTAGTCCCAGCAGAGGTGCTGCTCTTACTTTTCTAATCTCTTACTATTTTAAAAGTCTTTAGAAGGCGTTTCTGGATTTGCAGATTATAAACTGCCTTGTGGATAAATTGTTGAATCAATGTGCACTGCTGCACTGCTGCACTACTTCACACTTATATTTCATCTACGTCTATCTGGTCATGTGTCTTTTATGTTCTCTGGTTAGTCTGTCTTGTCTTCTGTGTTTTACTGTTATGTCCATGCCAGGGCAGAAGTAAATTTTCTGGGGTGAAGTTGCTGTTCGCCTTGACCAGCTAAGACTACAGATTATAGATGAAGTCAAGAAAAGTAAAAAGAATCCTGTCCTGATTACAAAGCTGATGCACACCACTTTGGCCTTGCGAATCAAAGAGATTATCAGTGATGACCTACCAGTGGGTCAGATCCTGGATCGCTGGCTTACTCTGAAATTGGAGTCTCAGGTAAGAATGTATTTAGATGCATCTAACAAGATGTATTTTATATTGACTTCTGTTATCTGGCCTGTCTGAACAAGTTATTCCTTTGTAGTGTAAGGATTTTGATGTATTTTGCAAAGATTTGTAGACTAATTGAAACTTGTAACATCTGTGCATAATTCCACAGGATTACACACCTTTACCTGAAGAACCACTTTTATGATTTGTTGGACCAACATGCTCTCCGGCTCCAGAGCTTAATCTGAAAGAAAGCTGCTTGTTCACACATTCACAGCTAAAAATTCCAGCAGAGAAACCAGAGGGATCAACCGCTGTTCAAACTGTGAACTTGCAAATTTGTTTAGTATATTTTTTGCTTTGTCCTCTCAATTCTTGCTGAGTTAGATGATTAATTTAGAAGGATTTTGTTTTGCATCATACTTCCACTGAATGCCCAGGGGATGCTGCTTTCTTATTGGGTGATCATCATCAACTCGGGACACAGTGATACGTGCATCTTTGGATTTGGTTTGCTTTGTTCTCCAAACTTTCTCCTCCAAAGGATCAGAATAAAATCAGTATTAGCTCAGAGTAGGTTAGCAACTGTTGGGATTAAATAATTTGCAGTGCCTCAATAATGCTATGCTTTTTTATTAATAAGTGTTATATAGTTATATAGTGTAGTATTAAGTACACAGCCCTAAAAAATAAAGGCATGAGAACATGTGTCCTCGTGAGTACAAAGCTGCAGACTCTTGCTCATGCTTGCCTGGGAAAATGCAGATAAGAGGGGACCATCTCTAGTGGAAAGTTAATGAGACACTGTTGTTTAGACTAGAATGAGAGAGCTTCTGTATTAAACCTTTTAGGGGCACACCAACATTTTGAGATCCGTGGCAGTGTGTCATGCAGGACGCATCTCCCTTCTAGAAGTAATGTGAAAGAGAAATAAGAGAAATGGTCAACTGAGCAGTGTTTTGTCTTCCATCGGATGCCTCTGAGGAATTAAAAGAACTTGGTGAAGTGTCGATATTCACACTTAAGTAAATACAATTAACTTAAGTAGAATGAAAATGATTTGATTGTTATACTTATACACTCACCTCTTGCCAGTCTCCTCTGTCACTATAAAAAGGGGAGAGAGTCACTAATCCCATCAAAATCACCTGTCCACTTTGACATCCCAGCACTGCCCCATGAGCTCAGCAGCAGCAGGCCAGAGACCACACCCCTGCCACATGGACATTAATTTGGCAATCTTTTGTGAAGGTGCTGCAGATTTTTTTAAGGCATGCCACTTTTGTCCTCCATTTTTCTTTCTTTCTTTTTTTGTGTGGAAAATACAGTGTACACCATGTAGATACTATGTTTTTGGTTAATAGCTCTTTGGCAATTATTCTGTTGCTGTAAGAAACCCCCCCAATATATCTAAAATATTTTCAGATACAAATAAAAATGAAATGTCCTTATTTATCAAATACAATAAAACAAACACACGGACACTAAGGTCAGTCTCAAAAAACGCAGAACAAACAAAGCCAAGGGAGGCGTACATGGAAGGGAACTACTGAGAGAATGAGGAATATGTTTGCATGTGAGTGGAGTGTCAAGTGAATCTAGAGGCAGCAGGGAGTGGCAGCATCTGAAGTGTCAACAGAGTGCATGATGGGAACATCATATTGACTTTGACTTTTGACTTTTACGTTGTCGTCTCTCCTGTGTAGCAGACTAATCATTTGGTAAGAAAAGATTCATACAGTTTATTAATTTTGTGCATTGCAATGAAAAAAAAGGCTTTATTTGATTTTTTTAGTTTTTGTTTTACAAAATGAGGCAAGTTCCTGTTTTTGTGTCTTATTTGTGTAATGATTCTTTTCTTCATGTTTTTCCAGGTGATGGGTTTTATGACAGACATCATGTTACTGAGTTTCCTCTTTATTCCAAGTGAGCCATCTCATTTCAGCCATTTACAGTCTGACAGATCAGAGCAGATAGATACTTTACAAAGTCAAGTATCTGAGGATGTTGAAAGAACAAGGGATAAAAAGCAAACCCACGACTCTTAAAGTCAGATTGTTCATCATGAATTTTCTCTTTATCTACATTTCTATATTTTAATGATATTCTGTTTTTTCAGGCACTTTGGCTGCTTGTCCTGATTCTACAAACCTGTTTATCACTGCACCAACAGAGATGGAGGCTCTGAGTGGATCTTGTTTACAAATCCCATGTAACTTTAGTGATGCTGGACCAGTAAAGTTTGACAGCACAAGACCTGTGTTTGGAGTGTGGATTAAAAATGATCACAACTTTGGCAATAATCCAAACAATGTGATCTTCAACAGCAGTGGGACAGTTAACATCTATCCAATGAATATTACAGGAAACCTGACACAGAGAAACTGCACCACCCTGTTTTCCAATTTAATCACAAACTACACAAACACATACTACTTCAGAATTATGAACTGGCCGTTCAGAGCAACAGCTGTTTGTGATCCTCTTCAAATAACAATTAAAGGTAAGAAAGTTTCCTCTAATTTCTATAAACAAAGTATAATCAGCTGCAGCTTTTATTCAAAACAACTAAAAAAGAAATTATGAACAAATGTAACAGAAATGAGCACATTTAAGTGTTTTGTGTTTAGCTGGAAATTCAGAAAATTAAGACGGCTCAGGACAATAGTTAGTCTTCTGGGGTCTTTATTGTGAACAGTAAAATTGGGAATCAGTAAAACAAACAAACAAACAAACTGTAGTAAAGACAGAAAAAACAGAAAATAAAAAATAAAAGAGAAGAAATCCTGCATACAAAGAAAAAGTCACTGTTTAAAAGCATATTTATGATTTTTTTATTATGTTTAAATTGTCACGGCAGGGTGTGCCGGTGTGTAGATGAGGTAGATCCAAAAGCAGACACGGTGAAGACAGAACTAAGTTTCCAAAAATAAAGCGAGCCTTTATTGTGACTGATGGCATGAGAACAACTCTAGAGACACACTGAAACTGGGAAAACTAAGGGGACTATGAACACTGTATAAACTAAAAGACAATGACACTCTGTGAAAAGATTATGAAATACTATGAATACAGAGTAACTAGGAATGCTATGAAACACGCTGAAACAATGAGGGGAAAACTGTGAAACCTGTGGCGAAGATAACAGACGACCTGACAAAAAACAGTAAGAGACAAAGGACTTAAATATACACATAATGTGATTAGGGGGAGTGGAGACACATGAGGAAACAGCTGACTAGGATGAACATAATGATGCACAGGAAATGTAAACCAAAAACACAAAGACATGGAAACTGGACTTTCACAATAAACAGGAAAACATGACAAGACGCAGGCATGACACAAACTTGACAACATTAACCAGACAGGCAAGAAACATGACCAATAACACACAATAAACAACAAGGGGAGTTTTAACACAGGGAAAGATGACACAAAGAAATTAAGAAACAAAGGACTAATGGCAACCTAGAAATTGACTGGATGAGCTAAACTGAAACTAGAACACAAATAAATACAAAATGACACATTAACAACATACATACTGGGTCACATGACCTAGTACCGTGACATAAATAGTCTGGTTTCCATGGAAATTTCACAAGTTACTGTTCAACAAACTAACGTTTTGACACAAGTCTCTCTCTACATCCCTTCCCCAACCTTTCCTGCACTTACAGGGGACATAAAAGGAATAATCCTGTCTGTTAGTGATTTGCATATTTGTCACTTTTTTTTTTGAGTCTCAGACCATAACACAACCACCACCATCTTTTACTCAGGTTATCTTTGTCTAATATTAAACTGAGTTTTAATCCGAAACTTTCAAGTGAGACAAATATGCAGGATTTCAGGAAGGAGGACAATACCTCACTTTGGTTTTTTATCCATTGTTGTGGCTGATCTTCATCTGTTTCTTGACTGTATTATTAGTTTACGAACTGTCTTTGATGTGAAACCACAGATTCTCCTTGGAGGCCCAATATTACAGTCTCAGGTGATCTGAAGGAGAAGGAGTCTGTCACTATAACCTGCTCAGCTCTCACTCCCTGTCCACACTCCCCTCCTCAACTCACCTGGAATCTCCCACAAGACTCTCACAACAAAATAGAGGAAAACACAGATGGAAGCTTTACAACTAAAATCCAGCAGAACATCACTCTGTCAGACACACATGATGGAAAGAAGATCAGCTGCTCTGCCAGATATCCTGTGAACCAAGGAAACGACACCAAGAGAGCAGAGACAGAAGAGACTCTCAGTGTTTCCTGTAAGACAATCAGAGTTTGTTGTTGAACTGAATCCTAAAGGACAAAATGATGTATGGGATATCTCTTTCTTTTTTATCTCCAGATTCTCCTAAAAACACCTCAGCATCCATCAGTCCATCAGGTTTGGTGTCAGCAGGCAGCTGGGTGAACCTGACCTGCTCCAGCAGAGCCAAACCTCCAGTCAGCAGCTTCACCTGGTTCAAGAAGAGCAGAGATGGAGCTGTGAAAGTATCTGAAGGAGAGATTTACAGCTTCAGTGTAACAGATGGAGGAGTTTATTTCTGTGTGGCCACTAATGATCTGGGTAATCAGACATCAGCAGAGCTTCATGTGACTGTTAAAGGCCCATTGCCTAAAGATGAAAGTATGTGCTCCCATCATTTTTTAAAATCTTTTTTGTATCTATTATATCTTCCATTTAAAAAAACTACTTCAAGTAGTAACGAAGCACAGCCTGAATCAATATGTCAACATAAAATCATTTTTTGTTTTTGTTACTTCATGATTTCTGTTGATTGTGCTTCAACAGACAAACTGTGGCAACATATTGGTGTAATTATTGGGATCATTTTACTCTTAATCTTACTCTGCTTGATAATCTTTGTTTGGTAAGTATCACACATGAAAGTAGAAAACACATACTGTTAGTGTCAAAGATATTTTAGCTGCAAATTCAAATATCTGTTTTCCAACAGATTAACTTTATTCACAATTATATTTAGTAGAGTTAATTTAACAGCTTCTTGTGTCTTCCAGCTGGTTAAAATCAAAGCATCAAAGACAACAACAGACTCAGGTAAGGGAATTAAAACAAAACAAAAAAATCTATCTGCAGGATAACTGACTGTTCTAGTGATTATTTACAGTAGCATCTTTGTCAGAGCAGTCTGATCATTTAATGTAACAAAAAAATAACAGAGTCAGCTTAAAGAGCATTCTATTATTTTAATTCCATAGATTCAAATAAGTGAAAAGCAGGTTGTTGAAGAACCAGGAAGTAAAACAGAGGAAGTTGAAGAAAACATCCATTATAGTGAGATTAACATTTCCAAGCATCAAGCATCCTCTGACTCAGTGCAGGTCAAAGGACGGGAGCAGGATACAGAGTACGCACAGGTGCAAGTCAGCAAGCCAGAAAACAACTTAACACAGAGTCCTCATGTCCAGGAGGAACTCTACAGTGAGGTGAAGAAAATTTAAAATGTTGTAAAATGACATTACTTCAGCGTCGACATGCACACATGGAGCCTTTCAGTGGGTCATTTTCACAGTTCAGTGATGACAAAGAAACAACACCCTGCAACTTTTCATGTTCTGTTTTCATTTTCTTGTGTTCATGAAAAATCTGAATAAACAGAAGTTTCAGCACTTCAATAAGGAACTGGTTTCACGTGTCAGCTGATTCTGTTCTGTAAAACTGAAAATCAAAACATGCTACATGCTGTAGCTTCGTTTGAGTTTTTTTCTTTTTTGTTGGAGTTTTTTTCTGCACTCTGCACTCAACACTTGTGTTAAGCTCACGTTTCCCAGTCTACGCCTCTCTTTTATTTTGACATTCTTGTGTTCCATGTCCAGTGTGTTTCGTTTTGCTTCCCTTGTGTCATCATGTTTATTTGTATCGGCTGTTTCCACTTCCCCCATTATCCTTCTGTGTATTTCAATCTTCTGTCTCCCTTTGTTTATCTGTTTTTATTTGTGTCATGTTACTGGAATTCTCAAGTCTCATCATGTTCATGTTTCTCAAGTCTAGTCCTAGTTCACCCAGTATAGGTAACAGTTTAGTCTTCAGCTTTGTGCGCCTTTGCCATTTGCTTTTGTATTTTTTCACCAGCCGGCTCGCTTTTTGTTAAAGAGTGGACAGCTGATGTCATTATGCATCGGACTGTCAGGGTTCATATGCCTTTTTCAGGATCAAATTCAAGCACGTTTTAAGCACTTTCAACATCCCTTTTCAAGCTTTTCCAGCACCCTCCCAATTTGCATCACCTCAGTAAGACCATGTGAAAATTTAAACAAATCATCCTAGGTGAACTTTGTTCCTTTGTTCCCCTTTTGTTAAAAATGCACCACACAAAAAATACTGGAAAAGGAAACGGTCCCCTAGTGTGTATAAACTAGTGTGTATAAACATAGTGTATAAACTCGAAATGCACATTTCACTTAAAAATTAAGATGTGAAAATGTGAACAAATCAACTGTTAGAGATTTTCTTCTCCTGTTGAAAAAAAAAACCTAAATAAATGTGTCTTCTCATCAGATACTGATGCTTCTTTCCTGTGTGACAAAAAATAGGAGACATATGTTTGTTTGTTTGTTTTTTAAGTTAATTCCCAATAAAACTGGTCTATTGCTAACTACATTGCTGTCTGTATTATTGCTGAAGTCCTAAAGGATCACCTTTAAAGTGTTTGTGCTAATAACATCATGTACAGTCAGACAGGAGAACATGGAGAACAGCACTGACTGGGAGGCTTTGAACAGATCACATAGTTCAATTCAACATATAAGACAAGCATCTACTTAAAATCTATTGAATTTATCATCTGTGATATTATTATGTACAATTCCAATGTATTTTGTTCATCTCCCTTAAATAAACAGGCAGCCTTAAAGTATGAAATATTCATGTACAAATACACATATAAATGTGTGTACTGTCTGAGTGGCTGATAGTGCCCCACAGGTCTCAGTGTGAGCTCGAAGACATTTATAATGTTTAAGTAGTTTAATGTGCAGGTGCTGACCAGAAACACATTTTGAATGAAAGCCGGGGAACTTTGGTAGCACAGAAACAAGTGGCTATTCTTTGTGACCATATGGATCGGTCCCTCATATTACCATTATTTCACCCAAAGGCACCAAGTTAATACTCAAAAAAGCTGCAGCAATACACACAAATATAAACAGTACTTGGTGACAACTTTACTTTTAGCCTTTAACCCTCTGGTGTCCAGGGTATAATTGGCCGTTTTTGACTACTTTTGATTTGGCCTCTATATTTCACCTTTAAAAACTGTTTATCTTGCCAATCTGTTATTTTCTCATTTTGACATACTGTATCAGCACAATTTATTTAAATTCAGACAAAATTTAAAATACGAGTAGAAAGTGATGATTTTTGACTGTAAAAACCACAAGCATGTTTCACGAATGATTTTCATAACTTGAAATGCAAATAGAAATTGTACATTTTTTAAAAAAAGTTTTGCAAATAACAAAGTTATATGGTACTATTTACCTAAAAATGCAGCCAAGGCTCATACGTTTTTTATATAACCATTTCAAACTATTAACAGAACAATGAGGTGTTCTGCATCAAATCAAAGGCACACAAATTATTTATGCAACTCCAAAAAATAGTTTGTGTCCACTATAACACAGATGAGAACAGCACAGGGATAAACCTGCAGGTCTGACAGCAGGTGTGTCACTTCTGTTTCCCATGTGGAGACAGCGTTTACACTGCAACCTGCCTTTGGTGGCTTTTTTGCAGCAACTGTGACATTCACTAGTAGAACAAAACAACGACTACACTACACACTAACTACACAAGACAACACACTAACTTGAGACTCCAAACATGGTAAACGTCACAAATCTCTCACGTATCAAAACAATCTCTCTTTCTCTTTCGCTCACTCGCTCTCTCTCGCTGGTCACTCCTAAAACTTCTCCCTCTTCCCAAGTAACCAAATGCCACATGTTGCCATATCATTTTTTGATTGGTCGAAATGGTACATTTTTCCACCAATAGGGAAGAAGTGTTTTTTCTTTCTCTTTTTCCACTCACAAGCAAAGCGTGTTTGCTAGCGCTCTCCATAGAAAACGCCATTTATACCGTTTCTACCCGGAGTAAACGCCACTGTTTTATTCAGAACAAAACATCAGTTTTACGTAGCCTATCAACACAATTTAAAAACTGGTATATAGTTTGAAGTCCGCACGTTCGACCGAAGTTGAAATGGAGAATCTTGGTCCGTCGACCCCAGAGGGTTAATCAGAAAGCCTTAAATTGGCTAGTTATGTATTAGGCTAATGTTTAAAGCTTTCACTTGAGTAAATTAACTCATATTACTGCTAAGTAATGTTACCTAAGTTCACAGCATATTCCATAAATGCGCTGCCATACTGCATCACACGCAGTGCATTTCAATCATTTCTCCAGCGAGTTTTATAGCAAAATAATAATCAAAAATTTAAAAAATAGCATGTGTAACGTACACGTACTGTAAAATTATTTACTAGCACTTGCCTATCATGCGACTCCGCCATTGTCTTTTTCCTTCAAACACTCATTAAAACAGCAACCTACAGCCCGGGCATTCTCTATTCCTACTACCAGTGTTGGGAAGTAATGGAATACATGTAAAATACAAAATATGAGTTACTGTATTCCGTTACAGTTACCATTTAAATGGGTGGTAATCAGAATACGGTTACTTTGTTGAAATAAATAGAATACACATTTTGTGTTTCATGTGTTAGGCTGCCCATCTCTATGCCTTCTCCAAATCTGGTGATTTAATGCAGTTGGGCACAGGTTTTTGCTCAGCTGGCTGAGCATGTAGTCATATATTGCAAGGCTGAAAGCGTACGGCCTGCAGCTCTTTTTAAAAATTTGTTAAATAAATTTCCATCTGGGATAGTTTCTCTGATTGCTGGAAACCCAAACAAAACACACAATAAAGGCTCTAATGTAAGCGTCCTGTTAATGTTGGTGGTGTCAGTAACACAATGGACCCAGATCCAGCAGTGCACAGGCAGGAATGCATTTCCAACACCACTTCATAAGAAAAATGAGCGAAACTTCATTATCTTCTATCTATCTGTATTATTGCTGTGTGTGTCGGTTTTTTTTTTTGACATTTAAGTTTTTATTGATTTTGCAAGTTTTTTGAAAACATATACTAAAACCTGTATAAGAGGGAAAGTGTTAGATTTGTATTGTTGATTATATGCTTAGAGTT